TTTTTTTTTTTTTTTTTTTTCAGTTGGAGTCTCACTCTGTCACCCAAACTGTAGGGCAGGGGCATGCTCCCAGCCACTACAGCCTCGACCTGCTGGGCTCCAGTGATCCTTCTGCCTCAGCCTTCCAAGTAGCTGCAACTACAGGCATGCGCTACCACACCTGGCTAATTTTTGATTTATTGTAGAGACAAGGTCTTGCCAAGTTGCACAGGTGGGTCTCGAACCCATGGGCTCAGGCAATCCATTCACCTTGGCCTCCCAAAGTGCTGGGATTACAGGCTGAGCCACTGAGCCCGGCCACCAGCTAAATTTTTGATTTATTATACAGATGAGATCTCGCCAAGTTGCCCACGCTGGTCTCAAACCCATGAGCACAGGCAATCCTTTCACCTTGGCTTCCCTAAGTGCTGGGATTATAGGCGTGAGCCACTGCGCCCAGCCAGTAATTTTCAAGTACACAACACATTGTCACCATGTTGTATTCTTCATGTTGATCTCTTCAACTGTATCTTAAAAACTTAAACACTTTTTCAAATAATCCAAAGAGAAGAAGAAATGATAACAGAAAATTTTGATGTTAGAAATTAAGTTATATAATATCCCATATTACTATTTGTGTAAAGTAGATAAAACAGTACTGAGGAAAAAGTACAGTTTTAGAAATTGATTATTGGAATGAAAGACAGATTAAAAATAAATAAATTAAACATTCATTTTAAGATATCAGAACAACAAAATAAACACCTAAAGAAGGAAGGAAATTATAAAGGTAAGAGCAGAATTTGTTGAACTAGAAAACAAAGTTACAATATAAGGAATCAACAAAACCAAGAAAACCAGCTAGTTCTTAGAAATGACTCATGTGGTTGGACATGGTAGGTAGTTCATGCCTGTAATCCCAGCATTTGGGGAGGTGGAGGCTAGAGGATTGCCTGAGCCCAGGGGTTCAAGAACAGCCTGGGCAACTTGGTGAGACCTCGTTTCTAAAATAAATTAAAAAATTAGCGAGGCATTGTGGCGCATGCCTGTGGTTCCAGCTACTTGGAAGGAAGAGGCAGAAGGATACCTGAGCCCAGCAGATAAAGGCTGTAATCATTAGTGTGCCACTGCGCTCCAGCCTAGGCAACAAAGTAAAAACTCCGACTTAAAAAAAAAAGAAATGACTTATGTGACTGATGAGTCCCTAATAAGACTGATCAAGAAAAAAGAAAGAACAAATACACAATATTAAGAATGTAAAAGGAACATAACTATAAAATGTATCAGGGATAAGAAATAAAATATAATAAAGCTGGCCAGGCTCAGTGGCTCAGCCTGTAATCTCAGCACTTTGGGAGGCCGAGTGGGAGAATCGCTTGATACCAGGAGTTCAAGACCAGCCTGGGCAACATAGTGAGACCCTATTTCTACAAAAAAATCAAAAAATTAGCCAGGCATGATGGCAAATCCCTATAGTCCCAGCTACTGGGGAGACTGAGGTGGGAGGATCACTTGAGCCCAGGAGATTGAGGCTGCAGTGAGCCGGGACTGCACCACTGTATACCAGCCTGGGTATACACTGTATACCAGCCTGTGTCAAAACAACAAAAACAAAAATAGGCCGGGTGCAGTGGCTCATGCCTGTAATCCCAACACTTTGGGAAGCCAAGGCAGGAGGATTGCTTGAGTCCAGGAGTTTGAGACCAGCCTAGGTAACATAGCAAGACTTCATCTTTAAAATAAAAAATTAAAATAAAAAATTAACTGGGCACGGTGATTCATGCCTATAATGCCAGCACTTTGGGAGATCAAGGTAGAAAGATCACTCAAGGCCAGCTTGGACAACAAAGTGAGACTTTGCCTCTACAAAAAACTTTTTTTTTCTTTTTGAGTCAGAGTTTCATTCTGTTGCTCA